AAGGACAAAAAAACTAACACACACCAAACAGGTGCCAAACTGCTCTTTACCCAGGACATATCCCCTGCCCTTCTGATGACAAGCTTTACACACACACACACACACACACACACACACACACACACACACACTCTTAAAGACAAGGCTCAAAGGCTAAATAACCATCTCTGGTTACACAGCAGATAAGGAAAGAGTTAGTATTAAACAAACAGGTGTATCTGGCTCCAAAGTTAGTGCTCTTTCCCCTACACTAAATTGCCAGGTGGAGCTGAGTGGAAACCTCAGGCAGTGCCTCTAGAAGTGTCTGCATCTGCTTTATCAGGGGATCTATTCCTCCACCACAGTCTTCCACTGGGTGGCCTAATGCCTGCATGACCAATAACAAGAATTGTGTCAACTGCTCTCCCCTTTGAATGTAGGTAGCAACCCTGAAAATAAGCATTCTCCAGTTCCAGTCCTCCACCCAACCCCACTCCTGGAATATGCACTGTTTGACAAGCTGTATGCCTGGTGACACAATCCAATAAAAATGAATTGAAGAAAACTTTACTGCTCACTACTTTCACCCTTATTTAAATTGTGAACACTCTCGTTATTTCTCATACATGGCCTCTGTAGAAACTCATTTGATGGGAAAATGAGCCCCTGTATGACTTGCATTTAAAAGTGTCTGACTAGATTTCAGCAGCCTGAGTGAAGAACTGAGGTGACAGGTTTGCAGGAAATTCTAAGGGGCTTCTCAACATTTTTGTAAGCCACTCTTTCTCTCAATACCTTTGGCCATGTCCTGAGGTGTTTTTTTGTTTTGTTTTGTTTTTTTAGGAAATAAAATATCTGCCCAGAAACTATCTAAATTTTGCCAAGAGGAAAATAAAATTTTAAGTCTATAATATCATGTAATAATCTAAAAATGTACTTACAATATAATGTCCAAAATAAAGAGGATATAAAATTGTATGAATAGTATACTCTCAAGCCACTCTGCAAGCTAAGTCAATAAGAAAAGGACTGCAATGTTAACAGCAATTACTTTTGATTTATGAAAATATGCATGCTTACTTTTTCTTTTCTAATTTTTAATAATAACCATAAATAGCTTTTTTTTAAAAATGAAATTCACTAAAAAATAAATATATATATTTTCCCAGAAAGAGGCCTACATATGATTCAGTGTTTCCTTACCACAGAAAGCTTTATATAAACTTTGACAAAGATTGTTCACAAAAAGAAAGATACCTATCAATCTTGCTAATGAATATAGATATCGAAATCCTAAGAAAATATCAACAAATCAATCCATATACAAAAAAACAATACACCTGAACCAGTAGAATTTACCTCAGAAATAAAGATTAGAAAATCTATCAGGGAACTCCACCTAAGATAAATTAAAATAGTGAAAATATGCATTGATTTAAATATAAAAAGGCATATAATAAAAATTCAACATGTAAATTCAAAACTTTAAAATAGACCCTGAAAAATGATGAATAAAGGCGAACTAATAAATAATCTTTCACCTGGGTGGAAGGGTAGGGGTTGGGCAGAAAGGAGAAAAGGGGGGGGGGGGAAATGGGAGATACCTGCAATACTATCAACAATTAAAAAAATATATTAAAAAAAGAATCTTTAGTAAAAAGTTAGATATCACACTTATAGTAATTTAGAAGCATTTCTACTAGTTTAAGGAAAAGAAAATGATACCTACTATCACTAAATATTGTATTGACAGACTAGCCAATGCACTATGATAAGAAAAACAAGTACATAAGGATTGCAGAGGAAGGCAGAAACCTACTTACAAGGTTATATGGTGTCTCCACAGAAAATCAAAGAGGAGGTGGAGAAAGTATTAGTAAGAGTTTAGCAATACAATTATAGTCAAGATCAAGATATACAGTTTATTCTTTTTCAAGTTCTACTTGTTTGAGCCCAGTTACCAACATTCGTTTAATAGAATACTGACCACTGCAGAGTCAGAACTGAAGAATAATAATAAATTAATCCTGTTATCAGCATATTCTCTCTCTTATTTTAATGTATGAGTGTGTTTTCATGGTGCTTGGAACAAATACATTAACAAGAATAAAGATTTATCTGTTACATAAATACAAACAATTTTTAGCTCTTGCTCTGGGACAAATAATCTATTATATACTTAAGATCCCCTTGGCTCTTCTTACTGAGTTAAGAGAAAACAATGTAAGAAGAGGATGAGGATGATGAAGATAGAGAAGACAAAGAGGAGGAGATGGGTAGAAATGGAATAAGAGAAACAGAGAAAAGAAGTGAGAGAAAGGAAATGAAGAAAGATGATAGAAGAGGAAGGGGATGGGAAGCAGTAGGGCAAGAATGAGGAGGAGAAAGGGGAAGGATAAGGAGGAACAAAGCTAAACTTCCTTGAGCCTTTAATATATACCAAAGCCTATACTGAGTGTTTTATTTGCTTTATTTCAATTAATCTTCATGGTGAGCCTTTGAGGTCTGCAATGTTATATATATATATATATATATATATTTTTTTTTTTTAATTATTGTTCACTTTTCTTTTTTTTTAAATATATTTTATTAATTTTTCAGAGAGGAAGGGAGAGGGATAGAGAGCTAGAAACATTGATGAGAGAGAAACATCTACCAGCTGCCTCTTGCACACCCCCTACTGGAAATGTGCCCGCAACCCAGATACATGCCCTTGACCGGAATCGAACCTGGGACCTTCCAGTCCGCAGACCGACGCTCTACCACTGAGCCAAACAGGTTTCGGCTATATTTTAATTTTATAGGAGAGAAAACTGAGGCTCTGAGAGTAAATTAATATTCTAAAGTTACATAGTTAGGAAACGGGATAGCCAGAATTTGACCCAGATCGACTTGCCCAGACTCTGTGGGATTAGCCACTCACTAGAGAATACTCCTTGCATATGAATTGTGTTGATTTTAGGGCTTATTAGGATATGAAGATCAGGAGGAGATAAAAAGGTCACCTTCACACTCCCCTTCCAAATCCTCCACTAAGCCAATGTTCTGAAAACCTGAATCCTCTCTTTAGAATACTTCTGGGTTAGCAATGTTAAAATTAAGAATGAAAAGATGTGCACTAAGATACAATTTTTAATGTATTAAGCATTCAAGAGTACAAGTTTAGTGGGAAGGTTAAATTTGAAGCAAAAATATAACCTGTCAGTTTCCACTGAAAAAGGATTTAAATTTTAGTACATAACAGATTCTACAATTATTTTTTCCTATGTAGCAGTTCTCCCAAGACCTGTTTTCTCACCAACTTGCTTTTCTTCTATTATGCTTAGGCCACAATGCATAAAGAATGAGGTTTACATTCAGTTTTAGAGGATAAAATAGACTGCTATTTTTGTGTTTCCAATAAAAATCTAAAGTATAATGCATAGTCCTCCCTGGGGTGTTGGCTGTCCGAAAGCTGCATATGTATTACATGTATGGCCCTGTTTCCAGAGCGTCAGGTAAGTGCCATCACCAACATTACAGGGCAGGCACAGTGCAGTCCCAAACAAATCACTGCCTCACAGAGCAACCAAAGGCATCGGGGTTTGCAAGCCGATATTGACAGATCTTAAGACCTGAAGAGAGCTCTATTAATCCTCCTTTATGCAGCAGAGAAGATGGGGGAGGAAAGACGTGAAAACATGGGGAGAAACACACACACACACACACACACACACACACGCACGCACACACAATGCACAAGCTGTTGGCATCAATTACAACAGTCAGACACATTTCCTGAAAGGGACAGTCATAAAGCAATAGGACCCAAATCTTCAGAAAACATCGAAAGGGATAGATTTATTTCATCATCACATTATGCATGCCTGTCTTCATTCCCAGAAGGCTATGTGTCTACCCAGTGTCAGCATTTCCTAAGTGTTGGGAGTGAAAGGGTGAATAAGAGGTCCAGGTATGAAGGAGTGTATGACAGAGTTGACAAACAAAAACACAGGACATTTTTAATAAATTGAGATAGTATGAAGTGCTACTGAACAAAACAAATGCGCAATTGCCCCAATTTAGGGAGTAAGGAAAGCTTTACACTCCCCAGATGGTCCCACTAAGCTCAAACCTGAACAATAAGAAGCAGTCCTTCTAGAAAAAAGTGGATAGTGATTTCAGGCTGGACTAATAAGAGTCCAATGACTCTCAAAGTCTGGTCTCTGAACCAATGGCAACAGCATCATATGGAAACTTGCCATAAATGCAAAGTTTCGGACCCCATTGTAGACCTAGGGAACCAAAATCTGGGGATGAGTCTAGGCCATCTGTGCTTTCACCAACCTTCCAGGTGCTGCTATAAGAGCAGACAAGCATTTAATGTGAGGAGAAAAACATTTCTGCTGCTGGCCTCTCCTCTGAGAACCACTTGTGTAAGCAAAGGTAAACCACAGGGGACAAAATGCCTGGAGGGTAAACAAGGTTAAAAGGAGAGATGGGGAGAGAGGGGGAAGGGGTAGGCAGATATTGCTGGAGGGATGTGAAGAAGGTATATATCATGAAAAGATTTTAGATTTTACCCAGAGAATAATGGAGATCCATTAAAATATATTATGAGTACAAAAATATCCAATCATGCTAGTGACTCTAAATATATACGTGTGTGTGTGTGTGTGTGTGTGTGTGTGTGTGTGTGTGTGTGTGTGTGTGATTACAAAGATGGAAGATATATCACAGAAATAAAAACTCAATCCAGCCCTAACCGGTTTGGCTCATGGAAAGAGCATCAGCCTGCAGACTGAAAGGTCCCAGGTTTGATTCCGATCAAGGGCATGAACCTTGGTTGTGGGCACATCCCCAGTAGGAGGTGTACAGGAGGCAGCTTATTGATGTTTCTCCCACATTGATGTTTTTAGCTCTCTCTCCCTCTCCCTTCCTCTCTGTAAAAAATAAATAAAATATATAAAAACAATCAAACAAACAAAACTCATTCCAATACAGACAAGCGGCCACAAAGAAAGGAACACAGTCACCCCTACCTTTCTTTCTGGAGTCTTTCTTGGCGCTGGTTTTCACAGCTACTTGAAGTTCTGTCTCAGTTGACATCCTACTAAATCCTTAGTCCACTGCACACAGATCCAGGGCGTCGGCCAGGCTCATGAGGGACTCCTCTCCCAGAGAACGACGCCTCCCTTCAGAAATGATGCCCCACGCTGCACATGTCATTCACTCCTTCTGAGTGCTGCAAATCAAAGGAAGAGAATAATTAAGGTGGTCATTCAGAATAGTTACTCCTTTGATGTTAAACAGAAATTAGTTGGGAAAAGAGTCATACAAAACCCAGAAAATCTTGGCCTCCATATACAAACTGCTCACATGATTTCCTCAAGCCAGGGTTTATAGCAAAAGGAATGAGAGGCCTATATGCAAAACTCAAAACCATTTCTCAAACCAGCTAACTCAAAATAGGTCTTCAGAACTCTGGATTTTCAAAGAAGAGCAAGCCCAAATCTTTGTTTTCCATGTTTCTTATTTTCAAGAAGTGGACGTCACCCAGAAAAACACAGCAAAGGCATATTTCCTGAGCAGCCCGTGCAGATGTTTCCAACAGTAGGGCACCCATCCATCAGCTAAACTTGATCAGAGCCTTGGCAGCTAAAGCAGATCATAGGGAAGTGGCCTGGGTCTGCCCCTCACTGGCAGGCAGCAGGCGGGACATAGAGTTGACATACAGTTGGGCTCCAAGGGTAAGGTGACAAATGGGACTGAGAAACTTTCAGCAAGCCAATTTGTATGTCAGCTTGTCCCCCAGCTATAAGAGCAGACAAGCATTTAATGTGGGAGAAAAAGAAGCAGGCAAACACACATTTCAAACATTCTTTCTCTAATAAAATATGCATTGCACAGTGCTCGAGAGTATTAAGTTCAGACACTGTCCTGGGAAGAGAAAACAGTGATAATACAACCACTTCAATTACAGCTAGTATTTACTATGCACTTACTATATACTATGCCCTTTCAGTGACTGCTTCACATATATTATCTCATTTGATTTCATTCCACTGAATGAATGTATTCCCTGTGTCAAGTCAGCAGTCTTTCCCAATGACTACCTATCTGATAGTTATATCTAAGAGTTTAGTGTAAAATAAACATTTCACTAGTTACCCATTTGTAAATAATATTAAGATAAATATTACATAAAACTATTTCTGGAGCTGCCAAGACTCTGATCAAGTTAGGCTGATCAGGCTACTGGGAATGGATCTTTAACTGTGTAGACAGCCAATGCTTAGCTCATCCCACAGATCTAGAATAGTTCAATCTAACAAGGCTGACCTTAAATGCCAGTTTCAGCTCAAAATGGATAATGGCCCAACCCTCTTACTCATGACAACTAAAGATGGCTTAACTAGAAGCTCTAAAATAAAAGCCAAATGAAATTATAGTAATGCTTAAATTGGGGGAAATTTCCACCTTATCCAAAGATATCTGGTTAGGTGTTTGTATTTTTTTTTTATTGACTTCAGAGAGGAAGGGAGAGGAAATGAGAGATAGAAACATCAATGATGAGAGAGAATCAATGATCTGTTGGCCCACGCTGGAGATCCAGCTCCCAACCCAGGCATGTGCCCTGACCAGGAATCAAACCATGACCTCTTGGTCCATAAGTTGATGCTCAACCACTGAGCCACACTAACTGGGCTGGTTAGTTTTTTTTTAACAAGCTATTTTTTAAAAGGACACTAGCCCTGAATGAAAGGAACCTTAACTAGAGGATCTAAGATTACAAGTAAGGAAAGTGAAAATTGTCTTCCTAGAATGGGGTCCTTAAAGTTATTCATAGAAAAATGGGAGCTTTTCTGCCACTACTGTGCCATCTATCTGCACCATGCCACTCAGCTAACCTTTCCCCTCCCCAAGAGACAATATTCCATGAGAGATGACAGTCATAAAATTCAGTCATATATTTACATAATTTTATCAATAATACTTATCTTTTCATAACAACAAATATCTACTGAGAACCAACTATGGGCCAGGTGCAAATCCTGGCTTTTTCCTGTCAACAATACTGTGTAACCATACTGGCCAAGAGTACTGAGGCAAAGTCTGACTCCTGTCCTCAAAGAAGCTCAGCCTAGCAGAGGTGTGGTCACGTGAAGGACTGTAATACACACAGCCAGAACTAAAACCGACATACACCTAGCATGCTGAGGCACACAGGGTCAATGATTCACCTCTGTTCAGAAGAGTCAATGAAGCTTCACAGAGAAGAGTATCCTGTGAGATCCTGCAGAGTGATGCTTCAGTCCATTGGATGATAAGGGAAAGAGCCAATGAGTACTAAATAAATGCATGCATAATAAAGGAATGAATGGCTGCTTCAGGCAGAAGGGCCAGAATGTGCAAGGAGGCTTGTAATTGACAACCAAACTAATAAAAGGAAGCAAAGTCTAGGAGGGAGGTAGATGATTGCCTCTCTCCAATTTTCCCTTGTGTTGCCTTTCCATAGAATCTTTCTTTTCAAGCCTGCCTTGATAGTCCATTGATCCCCTCAAGCTTCAGTTCAAAGAAATATCTCAGGCAGAAATATTTTTCTGATCCTTCTATTCAATGGGATCTCTCCCTACGTATGTATGATCTGACTAGGGGCCTGGTACACAAATTCGTACATGGATAGGGTCCCTCTGGGTGGCCTGCAAGGCTCAGGCCAAAACCCACAGTCCAATGCCGCCTGCAGCTCCTACCTGCCACTCCCACTCATCCCAGTGCAACTGTACCTGCCATAGGCTTATGCCCAATCAGTCCCAATTGGGCGAGGCCTGTGCTGCTGCAGCAGCACTCACAGCCACAATCCCTGTGTTTAGCGCCTTCCCAAGGGGAGTGGCCTGTGGGATCTGGCTGAAATAGGCTCTCTGACATCCCCTGAGGGATCCTGGATTGCGAGAGTGTGCAGGCCAGGCTGAGGGACCCCACCAGTGCACAAATGGGCCAAGGAGGGACTCCAGGGTGTGTCTGGCTTGTCAAGTTCAGACCCAATTGGCTGGACCCCAAGTAGCAAGCTAACCTACCAGTTGGAGCATCTGCCTCCTGGTAATCAGTGCATATGATAGTGGCTGGTCGACTGCCTGCCTCCTGGTAGTCAGTGCACATGATAGGGAGTGGTTGAGCACCCTTAGCATATCGTTAGCATATTACACTTTGATTGGTTGTTTGGTTGTTCTGCCGTTCAGTCTATTTACATATTACCCTTTTATTATATAGGATGTTTGGCCAGCTTTATAGTTGGAGCCACATACAAGCGATGGGATATTGAAGAAGTTACTCAACCTTTCTTTGCCTCAGTTTATCTACCTTTATAGTGGAGATGACAATATCAATTCATAAGTCTGCTATGAAAATTTACATGTGATCATATGTATAACATGCTTAAAAATATGCCTGGAACATTATCTGGCAAGTACTTGGTAAATATTAGATGCTAATACAGGGTGTTCTCAAAAACTGTATACACACTATGAATAACTATAAGGCAGTGTTTATTAAGATACATTTATTTTCAAAATGTAATAGAATTTACAGATATAGTGTGCATAAATTTTGGGGGGGAGGACACCCTATAGTTTCCTATATTGCTCAAGGTCACATGACTGGTATGTGAACATAAGTCTATACTATTATTATCATCCTTTTACAAAAGAGCAAACTCAAGCAGTTTAAATTCACTTTCTAAGGACAAATTGTAAGAAATGATAGACTCAAAAATATTCCCATCATGTTGGTCTTGCACACAGTAGGTACCTAATCCCAAAATACAAAAATTAGTTGAAATATATGGATTTTACACAATTTCAAGAAAGGCAAAACCCAACTTTATGTTTCCCATGTTTTGTATTTTGAAGTGCTAGATGCCACCCAGAAAATATAGCAAAGGCATATTTTTTGAGCAGCCCATGGAGACATTTCCAACAGTGGGGCATTCATCCATCAGCCAAAGTTGATCAGAGCCTTCAAAGTCGATGTATGAACTACATTGGACTTGGGCCCCTTCCTTCCCTTCAATGTTATAGGCCAGAATAGAGTACCTATCCCTATTCTTTGGGTATCTCCAGTGCCACTTGTTCAACCAAATGTGATTGTGTTCAAGTGTTATAAGCATTACTTGTGATTTTCTGAAGTACATCCTTATACCAATAATGAAAGGAAACTGGCATCATTTTGAATAAAACTTCAATAAGGAAGCTGCAATACAGAGAGAAGGTACTACAGCTGAGATCCTGGCCTCCCCCTTTTAATTTTCCAAAAGCCAGAGGTTGAGCAAAGGCTGTGAAGTAACTCCAAATTATTTAGGAAACTCATTTCTTTGTAATTAAGAAGATTAAAGTCCTCGAGGGCCAGAAACCATGTGACAACTCAAATCATTTTTCCCAGCAAAAGCTGTGAAACCCTATCAGTGAAACTCAGGCTGGCCGAGAATTTAAAATGCTTCAATAATGTTTCTTTGCCCCACACAATCTGCAGTAATTTAATATTCCTGAAGTGTGTCAGGTTTTTATAATGAGCTCTTCAACTCTAAATGTGAATTATGTAATATTCCACTACAGACATTTCATCTAGTGAACTGCTGCTAAATGTAAAATCCCGTGTTCAGTGATTGGGGGTGGGGACAACACCAAACCACAAGCAGAGAAAGCAGATAAGACTTTTAAAAAAATGACAACAAAGCAACAAAGGTTTGAGCAGCCACAACAGAACCAACACACACTAGAACACCTACTTTAACCCAAATCTGTGCACCACCCTGCTCCTCATACAATTCTATGGAAAAATAGCTAATGTTTATGAGGATCCACTATTTACTACATACTAGACTGTCAATTTCTCATCTATCACCTTATTCAAACCTTCAACCACTTGAAAGTTGGGTATTATTATCTTCATTTCACAGATTAAGAAAGTGAGACCAGTTTAGTAGTTTATCCATGGTCATAAGACTAATAAGTATCACAGGGCAGGATACAAGACACTCTTGTCCCCAGCTTCAGTTAGCTGGTGAACAGGTAAAAAATGTGGTGTATTCATACAATGGAGTATTATTCAGC